GATATTTATGATAGAATTACCTCTGTCTAATACCAGTTTATTTCAATTTTATATTTTTATCTCATTTTTAAATTTACCTTCTTTTTTAAAAGATTTTTTTTAGGGACTAAAAAATGACAAGAATAATCTCTGCCATTGAAAAACACCAACAACCATCGAAACCAATGAATATGTACAATATCTTGTGATTCTGGATTACTATTTCCTCTGCAAATTAGTGTGCTTTCAAAAGTTTTATTTGAAAATTTTTTGGTGCTTCATCTATTGTTTTATTTTAAAACTTTTAAATTATATGTTAAAAAAGGTAAAGTAAAAAAGAAAATATTAATAAATGGAGACAAAAATGAAACCTGAACCCAAAATAAGCATTAGATTTTCTCTGGCTACCATTACCAGACAAACAGCCACTGTGCTTTCTAGCTGGCATGGAACTAGATTTTTTTTTTTTTTTAAATCCCTGTGTGGGAGGAGGTGGAATATTAATTCTGGGTTTGTAATGATATTTGGATTTAATTACACTGCCAGTGCAACATATGTCAACAAGGATTACTCAGTCTGTTTCTGGGAATTTGTGAAGGGGCCTCAAGAGAGACGGAATAACATGTCAGAGTGGAAAAACACAGGGAATTTGAGAGAATAATACAAAGCTAAGCTAGGTAGGCAACTGGAAGCCACACAGAAGGGCCATGTATGTCAAAAACAGAGTATGTGCTTAAATGAGTGGCTAACTGACCTATTGATTAAAGCTTCATTTTACTCGTTTTTCAGTTTCTCTCCAAATTCTTGCTTTCTGGAATTGTTATTGTTCATGGGTAAGTCTGTTCTTTGGCAAAATGGTAGCTGCGTGCCCTCTTTATGTAGTGAATGTGTATCATTCTTAACACTTATAGCATAGTAGGTTGGCTTTCAATATATTATTTCATTTAATAATGATGCAGTATGAAGTCCACACTATCACTTCTTGGGCATTATAGCCAAAAAATATTTGTAGCACTAGGCAATACAATAATCAGAAATCTGAACTTATTCAAAGTAAAACTTTTACCTTCTTCCAGACTGATTTCCTGTGAAGTGGAAGGGTAAAGTGGGAAAGGGGACATGGTTGGCTCCTTCTCTGTTATCCCTGGTAGCTCTTCTTGCTTACTACCTGCCCCTCAACTTAAAACTGTGCTGCTTGATCCCTTAGGGAATTTGGGAAGAAGAAAAAGCAAGGTGATACATTTATGGCTCTCCATTTTCTTATTAGAATATGCACAAAGCAGGCCTTTGGGGCAATATTCTTTTAAATTGACTCTAAGCCAGAACTTCAAACTGGTTCTTCTTTTTTCAGGCATAGCCAACATAGTGAAACCTGAGTGGAGCCAAATTTGGAAAATGTGCGTGTACAGTATAGGAACCAGAAAACTATGGTCCATGTCCTACTAGAAACTTAATCTCCCTCCTAGGAAACAAGGGCAGTGAATGTGTTGCATAGCAAACACGCTTGACCAGCAGAGGCATGTGGGATCAAACATGGTGACCAAACACCTTACTTTTTATGTCTCTCTCCACTGCCTTGGCAATAATCCAATTCCTATATCAGAGCCCTGAAAGTGTTTACCATGCCACTTTTGAGTCTCTCTCTTCTGAGTCCTGGAAGAGGGCTTCAACCCATAACTTTTCCCATTCCGGTTATCTTCTGGTATGCCACATTTTACAAATACAAGTCTGTTGCATTTTTTTGTATTGGCTCTGACTGAACTGGTTCAAGTCCTGCTCCAAGCCCATGTGTCTCTCTCTCTTTTTTCTTTGTCTGTGACTTTGTCTCCCTTTCTTCTTTTTAATTTCTCATCATAAGTTATACCAGTAAATCCATGTTGTACATGTAATTCCACCTCATAGCAATCCTATAGGATAGGATAGAACTGCTTTACTGGGTTCTCCAGGCTGTAATCTTTATGGAAGCAGACTGCCACATCTTTCTTCCACAGAGCAACTGATGGATTAGAACCACCATCCTTTCATACAGAGCTTTACAAATAGATATCTAGGGGTTTTCATGTAGTCTCCTTGAAGCTCATCTTACTAGATTTAAGGGAATAGGGAGTGAACCTCTACTTACCTCCCTCAAGAAGAGTGGTTTGGTATTCACAATATCTGAAACTAGTTATAAAGAAACACTCTCTGGAGTTTCTAACTATATTGTTTTACCTCTTCTAAGTTCCTTTAATATCTAGGAAGGGAGAATTCGTTTAGGAGAGCAAACCATGTCAAGAAGTCCTATATAGTTGCTTAGGAATCTTCCTTTAAAATATGTGCCACAAAATACCTCGAAAAAATTAGAAATTCTCAGATACTGAGACAGAACATCAGTGTTTAAAATATTATCTATCTATCTATCTCTATCTATCTATATATCTATAGATATAGATAGAGATAGATAGATAGATAGATAGATAGATAGATAGATAGATAGATACACACACACAGTTAAATATTGTACTTGGAATAAAATTATTGTTAGGTATATTTTATTCTAAAATATTTAGGTAATATTCCCTTTTCAGAATTTTTCTCTCAGAAGTGAGTAGAAGAGATAAAGTTTCTACTTTCCTTCTTCCTAGCCAGGAGTTCACCTCTTTCAATAGATAATAAGTGTGGATCCCACATCCTCATTTTTATTTAACCTCATTAATCTTAGAGAAAGTATACATTTCTTCTAAGTTCTGATACAAAGCCTTGTTTTTTTAATCTTTGCATTTTAATTTCTAGTTTATCTTTCTCTTGATTTTTAAACACTGACCATTCATTTTTTGGTAACAGCTTTGTTGAAATATAATTTACATACTACATAATTCACCCATCTAAATTTTACAATTTGGAGGTTTTTAGTATAGTCACAGAGTTGTGTGACCATGACTGTAATCAGTTTTAGAATATTTTATCACTTAAAAAAAAAAACAAACCAGCCCTGTACCCTTTAGATATCATCCTCAAAACTGCCTCCATCTCACCCCTAAGCAAGCATTGATCTACATTTTGTCTCTAAGTATTTACCTATTCTGGACATTTCAAATAAATAGAATCATATAATATATCTTTTGTGACTCTCTTATTTCACTAGTATAATGTGTTCAAGATTCACCCATTTTGTAGTATGTACTTTATTCCTTTTTATGGCTGAATAATTTTCCATTGTATGGATATATCATATTTCATGTATCCATTCATCAGCTGATGAAGGTTTGATTTCTTTTCATCTTTTGGATATTGTGAATGATGCTTCTACAAATATTTGTGTACAAGTTCTTGTGTGGACATGCGTTTTCTTTTCTCTTGGTTATGTACCTAGAAGTACATTGCTGGATCAAATGTTAACTCTATATTTAAACTTTTGAGGAACAGTCAGACTGTTTTTCAAAGTGGCTGCACCATTTTACATTCTTACCAGCTGTGTGGATGGGTCTCAATTTTCCTGCATCCTCAGTAACACTATTATTATCTGACTTTTTGATTATTGCTATCCTAACAGGTGTAAAGTGGGATCTCCTTATCCTTTTGATTTGCATTTCCCTGATGACTAGTCTTTTTATGTTATTATTGACCATTAGTATATCTCTTTGAGAGAAAAGTCTGTTCAGATATTTGCTTATTTTTTAATTGGGTTCTTTGCCTTTTTATTATTGAGTTGTAAGATTTCTTTATTTATATACTCTTGATACAAGTCCCTTACGAGATAAATAATTTGCAATTTTTTTCATTCTATATGTCATCTTTTCACTTTTTTAATAGAATACTTTGAAGTACAAAAGTTTTTAATGTTGATGAATCTAATTTATCTTTTTCTTTCTTTTCTTGCTTGTGCTTTTGGTGTCATATCTAAGAAACCATTGTCAAATCCAAGATCCTGAAGAACTTAAGCCTTAAAATTTGTACTAAGTATCATATATCTAGCCAAGAAACATTTTAACTAAGAAATTCTGTCTGAAATCTAAGCATATCCAAAATACATTTATTTCTAAAACTTCCTGTTTAATATTTCTTCAATCTGTTGTACATCAAAAAATAATGGTGCTATTGCAGGAAAACAGCAACATGACCCATCGGGTCTTTAAACTCTCATTTTCTATTGTCTTCCTATTCAATCACAGGTTTTTGATAACTAATTAATGAATATAAAATTAATACAAATAAAGAAAATCCTAAAATATTAGAAAACAAGTAATTTAAAAATATTCTAATTCCTTAAATGTTTTATCACCAAATTCAAATAGAGTTATTATTATAACATTTTGTATTTCTTCCCAATATTTTTTTCCTATAATCATTTATCAGTATCTAGAAAATTTTATATTTGCAATATTGTTACCTAATAATTTTCACTCATAGTTACAGTGAACATTTTGTATGTGTATAGTATCTCCTGACTAGATTGAATCTACACACCAGGATTTGTATAAATTTCAGAGGGTTCTACTCATTTAAAGAAGATAATGTTTTTAATCCTGTTGGAGTATTAGTATTATACATAGCAAGGCTTGCATGAGAAGACCTGTAAATACTTTTTAATGTTTGCTATAAGCATAAGGGATAACTATTTTTTCATGTTTATGAGTGATGATAATATGAAGATAGAGACTATCATAACATTTTCATTTCCTCTGAAAAAGAAAAAAGAGTTGACTCAGAAGGACTTCAAAGTAACCCTATGCATTTTAAGATTTTAGAGGGATGTAAGTACTGAAGTGAGGGCATATGATCTTTTTCTGTGAATATTTTATGAATACAGGACCAAGCATGCTGATTTTCCCAGGTATAAAATGGTTCTTCTAATAAGTGAGCCCATCGCTCTTCCATTTTGTAAATTCTTGAGCTTCTGAAAGTTCAGATTTCTAAACAAAAAGAAGTTAAACACTTGAGAGAATAGAGACAATAATTATGGAATTGGATACATAAAGGATAATTTAAAGATAAATGTATGATTATTTTTCAAGAAAATGTTTAGGGAAATTGAGCTCATCTTATTCACACCTAGGATATTCAATTTTCCCTTCCTGACAAGTTGCTCGAAATGATTGTTGCGGTGTTTTCATTTTATATGCATGTATGCACTCAAATTCAATAATGTCCCCTGTTTTTGAATAAAGTTTTTTGTCTTTTATCCATTTTAGCTGTATATTATTTTTGTTCATGTTTTCTTCAGATATTACACATGCATCTGAAAGAAAAATGATAAAATAAAATAATTAATAATTATCTTTCCCTTCTACAGAACAGTGAAGTTGTATTTAGAAATCTCTTAGAATTAAATGAAATGATGAAATAATAGCCAAGATTTATTAAAGTATTCCAGATACAGTTCTTAGTACTTTATATTTATCATCTCTACACACTACACATTGTTTTTCATAGGTAAACATGATTAAACAGAGGCACAGATAAGTTGAATGATTTTCCCAAGATCATACAGTTTAATGAGTATTTGGAGCTAAAATATGGGCCCTGCTTATCTGACTTCAGAGTCTGTGCTCTTAATTGCTATGCTATGCTTGCCCGAAAGCATATACCAAACAGAAGTAAATTAAAATAGTCTATTTGGGTCACTGTATTCACTTTCTTTGGCCAGTTCAGAATTCTCTTTTACATAATAGCTTCCACAACATGTACAGCCCAAACATTACAAATGTGTTAACATCTTACTAAATATTACAGTAAAAATAAGTTTATTTTTCTATCAGACATAGAGTACAGAAGTCAAAAAATATTCTAAAACAAATCATCTCTTTGAAAATGTACTAGCATATTCTTGAATGTAACTATTCAAAATGAGACCAAAGCTTCTACCAATTTTTATGTTGCTTATTTAGATTGCCCTTTTTACAGTGTTTCATGTGAGTTGGAACTGACCTGATGGCAGTGGGTTTGGGTTTCCATCATGTAGTCATCTGTGGATTTTAAATTTTTTAAGAAACCTGATTTCTATAGAAAAGTAGAGCTACCTTCCCCCACTGATCACTGACTCATTCATTTTTAAATTCAGCAGTTGTGATTTAGGTGAAAGTTTACAAAGCGAATTCATTTTCCATACAGCAGCTCACATACACATTGTCTTATGACATTGACTACAATCTCCCACAATGCAACAGCTCCCCTCACACTTCCTCCCCACAGTTACCTCTTTTCTGTGTCCTTCCCTCCCATGCACTCCTGCCCCCTGAGCTGTCTCCCTGTGCATACACAGTCCTTCTATTCTCCAGTGATTGATCTCTCCAAGAAATGCATCTACCTAATGTAAATGTTCTGGTAGCATAGTGGCTAAAGCACTTGACTGCTAACCAGAAGGCTGGTGGTTCAAACCCACCAGCCACTCCTCGGAAGGAAAGTTGGGCAATCCTACTTCCGTAGTGATACTGCCTCGGAAACCCAAGGAGGGGTCACTATGAGTCGGGGCCGACTCGACGGCACATAACAACAACAACAACAATGTAAATGTTCAGCTCATATGCCTGTCTTTTGTTTGGCTGGATGTCACAGGAGTGGGTTCAATTCCAGATTTGAAGGGAAGCTAGGGACCATAGTCTCAAAGGTTCCACCAGGCTCTATCAGACCAGCAAAACTGGTCCCCCCCCCCCTTTTTTAAATGATTTAGAATGTTTTTCCGCATTGTTCTTCCTCTCTATCTGGGATCTCCTACATAGATCCCCCTCTGAGTGGTTGACAGTGGTAGCTGGGCACCATCTAGTTCTTCTGGTCTCATAGTATAGACTAAATTCAGGACTTTTAAAATTGAGAAATAGCATTTCTCTGAGTAAGTAATATAGTTTGGTATAACAAAATGGTACATTCTTTTTAGCCTATAATCTCTAACAGGGATTGTTCAAAAGATGCTAAAATAAGCCCAGGATTTAATTTAAGGAGCCATCCTCAGAAGTGGCAACCATAAGGAACTTTTTTTGTACCTAGATATATCCATGCCCAGGAGATTCTAAGATAACATTGTCAACTATTTCCAGATAACTCATAACAGACTAATCCCTGCACTGCAAAGATGAAGTTGATATTCTATCTCCCTGACATTTCTATGGAAATGAGATGTCAAATAGCACGAGGGATAACTCCATGAAAGTTGGAGCCAGATTTCCTCTGAATTGTAGCTCCACCAAATACTCACTGGGTGACTTGAACAAAATATTCAGGCTTTCTGTGCCTCAATTTTTCTGTCTACAGACACAAATTGGTAATAATACTCACCTTATAAGATTTTTGATAAAAATTTAGGTAGTTCCTTTTCTTATTATTATAAAAAATAAGGCAATTAATATTGTTGTATATATTTCATTTTACACTTGCAAAAGTTCCTGTATAGATTAAATTTCTAGAAATAAAATTTTATATCCAAGGAAATATGTCCTTAATATTTTCTCTTTAATAGTTAACAATTCAACAAGAGTATACAAGAGAGCCTAACTATGCACGTCCTTGACAACCTTTGAATTATAATTTTTTCATGATGCTAATTTCCTAGTTAAACACCAACTCTTCAATGTTAGAGGTTCACGTTCAACCACAGGCACCTCAGAAGAAAGGCCTGGCAATCTATTTCCAAAAAATCAGCCATTTAAAACCCAATGGAACACAATTCTACTCTGATACACATGGGGTCACCATGACACAAATGGTTATGCTTATTTTACTTAATGGCATAAATTCACACAGGTCTGGGCAACCTGAATATGTGTGTAGACATCCTTGTGTAGAGGAGGAAGATAGAGTGAAAAGGAGAAATGATGGAGATTTAAGAAATAGTTTACCAGCTCTTCCACCTCATTTTCCTTTCCGGATAGAAATCCTGACAACACACAAATGAAAAGTCATGTGCATAGCAGTCAGCTTAAGGTTCTACCAGGAAAAGTTTTCAGTTTTACAAGTAGGTCCTTATATACCAGTAAAAGGCAGATTTCCTAGGCCAGTGTTAATAACATGAAGATACTTAATGATGTCCACCACTTGTCTGTCAGTTTGTCCTATTGTGGTGGCTTGCATGTTGCTGTCAGGCTGGAGGCTATGTCATCCAGAGAGACTTGGAAGAAGGAAGGGGCCATCCACTTCACAAAGAATTGGCCAGTGAAAGCCAATATGAATAGCAATGAAACAGTCTCTGATATGTTACTGGAAAACTTTATAAATAGCCCTGAAACATTGCCCAACACAGCACCAGAAGATGAGCTCCTAGTTCAGAAGGGACTTAAAATACGACTGAAGAAGAGCTGTCTCTTCAGAGTAGAGCCTTCCTTAATGATGTAAATGGAGTAAAACTTTTGATACCTCCATTTGCTGATGTGGCATGACTCAAAATGAGAAGAAACAGCTGCAAACATCCATTAATTATTGGAATATACAATGTATAAAGTATGAATAAAGGAATAGTGGAAGTTGTCAAGAATGAAAAGGATTGTATAAAGATTGATATCCTAGGCATTAGTGAGCTGAAATGGACTTGTTTTGGTCATTTTGAATCAGACAATCACATAATCTACCATGCGGGAATGACAAATTGAAGAGGAATGATGTGGCATTCATCATGACAAAGAATGTTTCAAGATCTATTCTGAAGTACAATGCTCTCAGTGATAGGATAATATCCATATGCCTACAAAGAAGACCAATTAATACTACTATTATTCAAATTTACACACCAACCATTAAAGCCAAAGACAAGGAAATTGAAGATTTTTGCCAACTTCTGCAGTCTGAAATTGACCAAACATGCAATCAGGATGTGTTAATTAACACTGGTGAATGGAATTCAAAATCTAGAAATGAAGAAGAATCACTGTTAGTTGGAAAATATAGCCTTGGTGATAGAAATGATGTGGAGATCACATGACAGAATTTTGCAAGACCAAGGACTTATTTATTGCAAATACCTGTTTCTGACAACATAAAGAGTGGCTATACACATGGACTTTGCTAGATGGAGTACACAGGAATCAGATCAACTACATCTGTGAAAAGAGTTGATGAAGAACCTCAATATCTTCAGCAAAACAAGGTCAGGAGCTGATCGTGGGACAGACCATCAAATGCTCATATGCAAATCCAACTTGAAGTTCAAAACAATTAAAACAAGTCCACAAAAGTAAAAATATGACTTTGATTCTATCCCTCCTGAATTTAGAGACCATCTAAAGGATAGATTCGATGCATTGAACACCAATGATCAAAAACCAGAAGAATTGTGGGATAACATCAAGAACATCATGCATGAAGAAAACAAAGGTCATTAAAAAGACAGGAAAAGAAGAAAAGACCAAAATCAATGTCAGAAGACTCTGAAAATTGCCCTTGAGTGGAGAGTAGTTAAAGCAAATGGAAGAAATGACAAGACAAAAGAGCTGAACAGAATATTTCAAAGAGCAGTTAGAGAAGACAAAGTCTATTATTATAAGGAAATGTGAAAAGACCTGGAGTTAGAAAACCAAAAGGGAAGAATACACTCAGCATTTCTCAAGCTGAAAGAAAACTGGAGAAAAAATTCAAGCCTCGAGTTGCAATACTGAAGGATTCTATGGGCAAAATATTGAATGATGCAGGAAACATCAAAAGAAGATAGAAGGGATACACAGAGTCATTGTACCAAAAAGAACTGGTCAATATTCACCCATTTCAGGAAGTGGGATATGTTCAAGAACCAATGGTTTTGAAGGAAGAAGTCGAAGCTGCTCTGAAGGAATTGGCAAAGAACAAGGCTTCAGGAATTGACGGACTACCTATTGAGATGTTTCAACAAATGGATGCTGCACTGGAGGTACTCACTCATCTATGCTAAGAGATTTGGAAGACAGCTACCTGGCCAACTGACTGGAAGAGATCCATATTTGTACACATTCCAAAGAAACATGATCCTACAGAATTTGAAAATTACAGGAAAAATGTTATTAATATCACATGCAAGTAAAATGCATATAAATTCAAAAATGGTTGCAGCAGTACATTGACACAGAACTTCCAAAACTGCAAGCTGGAATCAGAACATGTGGAATGAGGGATATCATTGATCATGTCAGAGGGATCTTGGTTGAAAGCAAAAAATACCAGAAAAATATTTACTTTTGTTTTATTGACTACTCAAAAGCATTCAACTCTGTGGATCATAACAAATTATGGATAACATTGGGAAGAATGGGAATTCCAGAACACTTAATTGTGTTCATGAGGAACCTGTACATTGACAAAGAGGCTGTCATTTGAACAGAACAAGGGGATACTGCATGGTTTAAAATCAGGAAGGGAGTGTGTCAGGGTTGTATCCTTTCACCATACTTATTCAATCTATGCAGAGTGAATAATCCAAGAAGCTGGACTTTATGAAGAAGAGTGTGGCATCAGGATTGAAGGAAGACTCATTAACAACTTGGGATATGCAGAGGACACAACTTTGTTTTCTGAAAGTGAAGATGACTGGAAGCACTTACTGATGAAGATTAAAGACTATTGCTTGCAATATGGAATTAACTCAACACAAAATGAAAATCCTCACAACTGGACCTATAAGCATCATCATCATAAATGGAGAAAAGATTGAAGTTGTCAAAGATATTATATTACTTGGTTCCACAATCAACCCCAACGGAAGCAGCAGTCAAGATATCAGATGACATATTGCACTGGGCAAATCTGCTCCAAAGGACCCTTTTAAAGTGCTGAAGAGCAAAGATATCTTTTTGAAGACTAAGGTGCACGTAACCCAAACCATGGTATTTTTAATCGCCTCATATGAATGAGAGAGCTGGACAATGAATAAGGAAGACTGAAAAAGAGTTGATGCTTTTGAGTTGTGATGTTGGAGAAGAATACTGAAAGTATCACGAACTGCCAGAAGAACTAACAAATCTGGCCTGGAGGAACTGCAGCTGGAATGTTCTTTGGAAGTGAGAATGGCCAGACTTAGTCTCACCTACTTTGGTCATACTGTCAGAGGGATCATTCTCTGGAGAAGGATATCATGCTTGGTAAAGTGGAGGGTCAGTGAAAAAGGGGAAGGCCTTCAAGATGGATTGACACTGTGGCTGCAAAATGGGCTCAGGTATAGCAGGGATTGTGAGGCTGGTGCAGGACTGGCAGTGCATATTTCTGCTGTTCATAGGGTCGCTGGGAGTCAGAGCAGACGCAACAGCACCTAACAACAGTAGTTTAATGGTGTGAGAATACATTTCCATAGTTGAATAATTTTGACCATATTTTATACCATTTTATAATGTACTTTAGCATATTTAGGCTTCTTATTTATATTTCTTAAATAAACTTCTTTTGCACTTTGTTTAAAGCAGAGTTTCAAACACTTTTCTTTTTATATTTACATCTGGTAAAAAAGTTTTCAGCTAAGTGATGTTTAGGTAAAGGTCATTATACTTAATTGTTGTTGGTGTTGTTATGTGCCATCGAGTTGGACCCGACTCATAGCGACCCCATCCTTGGGTTTCCAAGGCAGTATAAATAATTAGTCCATGAAAATTCTACCAAAAGTATCAACCCTCCAACTCCAGGAGAAACTTAAAACTCACCTACGCAAATTGGTGGTTCTGACCACTGTCCATCTCTGCATGTTACAACTGTGGAGCCTCGGAGTTCATAGAAGGACTGGCAAAGGTACTTTACTGATGACCCTGGAGGATATACTGCTAATGGGAATGAAGTGATATCTCCATTGGCAATGGGTGGAGGTGGCCCACATTGCCCTGTGAACTCTGAAAAATAGCATTTCCTTTGTTGAGAGAAAAATAATATGCAGTGTAAAATGAAATAATATAAGTTGAATACTATATATCATACATGTACAATATCTTATGTAATATGAGAGCACAAATGAGTCATTATAGAATTTCTATCACATAACCTGATACATGAAAAAAAAATATTGTAGTCCCTTCTTTCACCCTAAAGTACACCTAAAATATTGGGCATACAAGTATGAAGAAGAGTTTTTATTTAAAGCCTGACAGACAGATAAGTAAACTTCTGATCTTACTATTTAATTTTTCTTAAAAGAAGAAAGGTAAAAATAATCACCTTCCCATTCCCATGCTCCAGGACAACTGTTACTTTATGCAAATAGCATGTACCTGTCAGCATATACTTATAATTTTTAGTTTTACTGAAAATTAATGATGTACATTTCTGTTCTACATTTACTTTTCTCACTCTAAATCATATATTGGGCATTTTTTCCTGTCAATAAATGTTCCAGGATCATGCTAAGATTGTCTTGGATACTTTCCCTTGTATTGATTGATCTCCATATGTATTTCCCAAAACATGCATATAGAAAAGGCAGATGTAGAATTTTATCCTAAATAACTTCTACATCTTTTCTTTCTTTTTTTTTTTTTTTTAATGAAGTTACTCTGTCTTATCTCAGAGTGACCTCTTTCTGTGGGACTAGATTCCCTAGTTGAGGTTGCTGCCCTAGGAATTAATTCCTTTCTTCTCTATCACTGATTTTTCCTTGTCTACTGAATCATTTCCACAAACAAGAATGCTGCAAATCTCACAAGTTGATATTACTTTTCTCTGTGCGTATCCATTTTTAGCGACTACCTTACTTCTCTATTCCTTCTCAGAGCAAAGTGACTTGCTCTTACGCCCCTAGTTTTACTTTCTTATTTCATATTGTCTCTTGAATGCACTGCAAGTAAGTATTCACACCTACTGAAACATCTCTAGCAACTCTCAAATTTATATCCTAATCCCAACCACTCCCCAACTGCCCATTCCACATGCCAACCTGAACATCTAATAAAAATACTTAGTAAGTTTGGGTATTCATAGGGATTCCAAACTTGTTTCTTCTGTAATTACTGTTAAAGATACGTGTCAGAGAAACATAAAAGTGATAGATTTGGGTACCTAGAGAAAAATTTAATACTTCTAGATGTGGTATAATAGATACCTTGTCAGTTCTTTGTCCTGTTCCTTAGATAAAGCAAATAGGATGACTAACTTCTTTAAATGACATTATTTAGAAATAAGCTACCAACCAACACACTGTGGTAATGACTGCCATCGTCCATTTTTACACACAATTTCTCCCGTGTCTTGAAGGCTGAAATTCTGTTTACAGAGAACAGCTACTTTTTCTCCATCCTGATAATTCACTGTGGTCACCATATTCTGAGCATTAGGTATCTGAGGTGGAGGTGGACAGAACTGTACTTTTTCTGTAAAATATTAGAAGTATTTGATTAATAAAAACTAAGGGAAAACAGTTATATTTCAGTGTAACAGAATATCCAATAACAATATATATTTGATGCCATGATA